TATAATGTACATATTTTCTATATAAGCAAATGCGAATCTGCAGAAAAAGTAGCAAAGTATAGAAAAATCTATTTTCTTACTAATAAAAATATCTAATATACAATTTTTTCTAAAATGAGTAATTCAATTAATATATATAACTAACACTAGAACTAACATCAAAATTTTAAGATTTTATATACCCAATAATGAATACATAATATCATGAATGCATTATATTAAAAAATATTCGAAAGAGACACATAAATGAACGTTATATAAAATACATAATATTGTGTGTGTGTGATTTTCAATTATTAAAAACATTTTAAATATTAAAAGTTTCTAATATATTAAGAATTCAGGAAGTTACGAAAACTTAATTATCTAATGTTGATTACTCATGAATAATAATGTAGAATTATAGATTCGACACAGTTTTTCTGTTTGAATCTGAATTTCTCTATCAAAATTCCTTTCTACATCCATTGAAAATGATAATTAAATTGCAGTCAACACTTCATGCGTATCTTTATAATCACGCTATGCACTGCACTTCTAAATTAGTTCCTGTTTACGTATTATTTTTATATAAATATCATTAAATGTTTTATGTTCACTTTTCTATTTGATTTTTGTGATAGTATAATTCTATATATATATATATACATAAAAATATGTACATACACATCTCTGCACGTTATAAAAAAGTTATGCAACTTTTGCTTCAAACAAAAATAAATAATAAAACAAAATCTATTTAACAAACAATTTTAATTATCTAGATTTTTTTTTAATATTAATGATTATTCAAGGTTTCTTCAAGGACAGTAATTAAAATATGCTAATGTATCAAGAAAATTATTCATCATATACGAAATATTTATAAAATTCTCATTAATCTACATCAATTAAACTGTAGCTTTTATGAATAATGAAAAAATTCTTGTTTAAGCGATTCATAAAAAATCACGGTTAATGGTTATATCGATATGAAGGAAAGCGGTTTTTCATGGGCACAAGAGATATTATGCTTCTGAATTACGAGAATTATCGTAGCGAAAGGTGCATACAATCAGCGACTCACTCTCTTAGATACGCCAATTACTTACAGTTTCATTCAGGAGAATGTATGTATAATTTATTTGGGAGAAACTTCCAGACGTGCCCTCAATTTTAAACTGTCGATCAAAGAAAGGAATTAATCCAACTGGATCATAACTTATGATGTTCAATCATGTATAAATAATTGAAATACGTAAATGTAACAATTAACGACAAATATATATGTAATAATATAAATAAGAAATATAGATTCTTATAATATAGAATCTAAGTAGTTATTGGCTACTTATTTTCTATCTGCTTATACATATATTTTTTGTATCATATAATTATTTATTTTAATACATTCAACAAAAGATATATACTGAAAAGCAAAATAAATCTAACACATTCTATGTGCGTTTCATTTACAGATTTTTAAATATTTTAATATTACCTAATATCTTATTAGAAGTATCTTAGATAATAATCTCAGGAACACAACCAATTAACCCCCTCTAATTTTAATACGCTTTGAATATGTTAAAATACTGACAACAAAAATAAGAAATATGTTTTTTTCATATGTGCTCAGTCATACGTATAAAAAATCTCTTATTTTTGTCGATCTTTTAACATATTCAAGCTTATTAAAATCGGAGATCAGTTGATTATACTCCCTTGTAAGTGAGAGATTTATTACGAAGTAACACAAGCAAGTAATAGTCAAATGGATTAAGTCCATTCCAAATAGCACGTGTTTTATAAACATTTCTTAAACGATTATAAAACATTAGATATGTTGAGAAAACGTATATAAATCAACATATGCTGGGATATTACTATTACGTTTGGCGAAAGCATCGCAAATATACGAATTAACAACGGTTTACTCAATAAAACACATCATTAGACGCATGATCTAATTTCATGATATTACTATTAATAAAAAATACATTACTAAAAAAAATTATTTTTCTATGAAATATAATATTATACACACACACACACACGCACGCGCGCGCGCGCGCGCACACATATATATATACATATGAATAAAATATTTTTAATATTCTATAATATATATTACTTCAGAAATAAAATTATGTGGAATTTTGAATAATTATTCTTTTGCATATTAAATATATACAATTTTTAACGTCAGACATAGAATTGCTGATACGCGAAAAAAAATTTATGTTAATAAACTAATGTGTTTTAGATGCTTAATTATTCTTCTGATTTTATGATAGAGTGAAATAAGTTAATTTAGATAAGTTAACAGAAATTTTCAAAATGTATAAAAAATTGGTGCAATAGTGTTTTGTATGTTTAATTAAATACATTATGCACTTCAATCTTTTATACATTTAAAAAATGTCTATTATATAACCTAATCCAAATTATCCCGCTTTACCCTACTATTTGCAAATATTCTAATCCAATATTATGAAAAATCTTATTCCGTTAATTCGTTGACATATTCGTGTGTCATTAAAATGTTAAATAAAACCTTCATAGGATTAGTCTAAAAAACAAAACTAAATTATTCTAAGAAAATTAGTTAAAATTTAATTAGCTTTGTAACTAATATTAAAAAAAAATGCTTACTATGAATAATTCATTGATTGGGAAACATTTAAGTATTATGTTATTAAATTTTTGAATAATTAAATTGTTACATATTTTACATGACATTTATCTTTTATAACTTATGATGCTAAATAAGAAAAAGTAAAAAGAAAATTAATAGAAATTCTAGAGATATTCTGAATTTTGCATTTTTTTCCCATTAACTTTCAGCAAATTTATGCGTAGAGAACTGTATTTCGTAGGCGGCATGAAAAACATTTACAGGCTGTAATAGGCTTTTGCCGTAATATTGTGACTTACGTAATGCCAGTGTCTCGTGCCACTGGAGATACCTACGTACGCAGTATGTTTATGCAGATACGCGCGCTTGTAAGCGAGACCGCTTTCTCCGTACGATTTCGCGATAAATTCTTATATTAAACTTCCATTTTCGATCTAACAAGATAGACGGGATGCGCCGTTATGTTCCTTAATCTCTTAATTATCAAACTTAAAATATTTTGCTTACGACTTTATTTAAATTTTTTACTACAGCTCATAAAAATTTTAATTGAAAATATAAGGAGATGTAGAATATTTTGTACAAACATATAAAAGTAAAAACTATAAATTCTTTTATTTCATAAAAAAATAATTTTAAAAATAAAATTAAAACAACCTTCCAAATATTTTCTTTGTTTATATAAAAAAACTTTTCTAGATCTAAAATAGAAACCCAAAAAATATGCAAACATATAACAATTTAATTATTTGAAGATCTTGTTCTAGCATAAAGACTAACGTATTAATAAATTATAAATGTTTCAAAG